GAGCTGCGTTGCACCGTGCTCAGTTGGCGTGAGGCTCAACAGCAGCAAGGTGAGAACGTTGAAGAACCTGCGGCTTTTTTGAGGGGGGGGGGGGGGACTAACTCACCTTGAGCAAGACAACAGCAAGGAAAAGAGCGCAAAACGAAGAAGTTCCCTAAGTCAGACTCTGCGAGCTTCGACTGGAGGATCTCCCAAGAAGGCCCAAAGAGCCCCTGATGAGTGTTCCCCACATGTTTCCACTGCTCAAGCAAGAACAACACTCCGCAACATCAGGGTTTAGGGTTTAGGNNGGGTTTAGGGCCGTTTAGGGGTTTTTGTGGCTGTCTCAAGTGGAGCTTGGATGACACCTTGAAGAGTTTTTGTGTCACCTCTCGCCCTCTGGTCCATGGCGTGCTTCGCACGGGGGAACGTCTGGCGTGAAACTGTGCCAGAAACCCGGCACCAAGCTGCATCTACTCAAGTGGCTTCCTTCAAGACGCCCCCCCTTGTTCTGCTATACTCCGTGTTGGAAAACCCCTCCCACATACCTTTGAATCAAGGAAACCTCTCAACATGGGAGGCTTCCTGGCGCAACTTCAAGTTCTGCACCTGGAGCCTCGCCCCCTCCCCCCTTCTTCTCAGCCCCCCTATGAGCTCCTTCCATGCCTCATGCCTCTTTTGGGGGAGGGATTTACTTGGGACGCTCGGGACTGGCAAAACATGGAGGCATCAGCCTCGGAACCGAATTACTCCCTGGTACTTTGCTGCAAGACACGCAGGGGAGGAGAGACCCGCTGCACTCTTAGAGGAGCCGATCCCTCCCAACCGCCAGCTGAATGCGTCACCAGGGCTCCGGCTACTTATGCGACTCCCGGCTCCGGAGGGGTCGCCGGGTCCACGGGCGGCTTGCGCAGGCAAGAGAACCCCCACGCCTCTGGCTTGCAAACTTGGAAGAGAGTCAGCCCCATGACTGCGATGAGGTCGAGGCCCGCGAGGATCAAGAGACTCGGTTCAAGCTTCAGGGCCGAGGTGGAACTTGCGAGGAGGTCAAAAACCCTAAACCCCTCAAACCCGAAACCCTTAAAACCTAAAGCAAGCAAGGCTCCTGAATGAGGCTCCCATGACATGACGAGAAGAGGAAAACTTACCAGGACAAAGAGAAAACAAGACACTCTCAGATCCTGCACCCTCCCAGCAAGGGCCTCCCTCCCTTTCCCCCGAAACCACTTACTTTAAACTCAGCCCCCAGCTATATAAGCCCCTCATTGTGAGTCCTAGGCCCAAAGCCCTAAACCCTAAACCCTAACCCTGAACCCTAAACCCCTAAACCCGAAACCCTGACTAAACCACCACCTCGGATCTTCCAACCTCCAAAGCAGGACCCTACGTCAGACTGGCCATGATTCTTCGGATCCCTTACCGTGATCTGCCTTTAAGGGCCTTCACCCCAAGATCCCTTCGTCGTCCCCATTACTCTTACTCTTACTCTGGCTATGGCTATTGCTGTTACTATTATTGCTATTGCTGTTGCTATTGCTCTTGCTCTTGCTCTCACTCTTACTTGGTGCTACTGTTCCTATTTCCGTTCCTTTGACGGTCTCAAGATCCCCATAATCGTCTCTCGGCTCTAGCACCATTACTATTGCTGCTACCATGACTGCTACTATGGCTCCCCGCGATCGCCCATATGGACAGTTCTCTAAATTAGGGTCCCTTTAGGGTCCTTTTCTATAAAGGGTGCCGTACTATGTTGGGGACCTAAATCAGGAACCCTAAATTAGAGAACCACCCCATAATTCTAAAGCCCACAGAGGCACGACTGCCCTGCAGGGCCCATCCAGCAGCGCTCGTAGCAATCCACATGCCCCGTGAATCCGCAGCCGGGTTCGGAGGAGCCCACAATGGCGCTGCCGGCCCCGCCTCAGGCTCTAGGATGCAAAATACTATCCTCTTTCATGTACTGTAATAGACTATCATGTACTATCATATACTACAGAATACGGTGATGCACTGTGATTTACAATATGTATATATATATATATGTATGCATGCATGTATGTATGTATGCATGGATGCATGCATGCATGCATCACAACATACTACAAGATACTACGAAAAGCTCTAGGGCTTAGGGACGTTGATAAGGGCTTTGCAGGGGTTTAGAGTCAGAAGGGTCTTGATGCCGTGGCTTCTAGGGTGTTTCCAAGGGATTTAGAAGGGATTTTGCAACGGGACTCTATGGGGATTCGATGAGAGGAAGGGGCGTGGGTTTAGGATTTTTGGGGCTTGGGGCTTGGGTTCATTCAGGGAGTTAGGGATTCTGGGTTCAGAAGCCTAAACCCTTAACCCTCAACAACAAACCCTAAACCAGGGCCCAAACCGGTTTCGGGCTTTGAGCTCGTGCGTCCGCAGGCTCTGGGTTTCTGCACTTCGGTGTCGTTCTCTAAATCAGGGTCCCTTCTTAGGTCCCCAATAAAGTACGGCACCCTTAGAAAAAGGGACCCTAAACCCACTTCGGTGTAGGGGTTCTGGGTCGGGCCTGGGTTTTGGAGCCTTCTGCTGGCCCGGAAGCTCCTGCAGGGATGAGTTGGAACTCGAGCTCCTCGGATTCGAGCTGGAAAATATACTATCATGTACTATCACATACTTTTCATACGCTATCAGATACTATCATATGCTGTCATAAAATATCATATGCTACCATGTACTATCCTAAAGTATAATATGCTACAATTAGAACCTTTAGTATACTATAATGTATCTGGAAGGCCAGAAGCTACCTCCGTTGTCCAGCCTACGGCTCTCAACAGCCGCACTGATTGAATGCGAAGCCCTGCACACCGAGTCCTAAACCGCGAATCCGCAGCCCTAGGCGGTTTAGCGTTTAGGCTTTAGGGTTTAGGGTTTAGGCCTCCCCCAACACCTTCAATCCCTATGCATCCGGAGGTACAGCCCACAGCGAGAAGGGCCCGAATGAGGTTTTCCTTGGTTCGGGGAGGCAGCTGAGGTCATGTGGTCTGGGAGATTCAAAGCTCCGGCGCTGGAGAGCCTACTTAGAGGATCATGGGACTTGGTAATTAGGGTGATAAAAAAAGGTAACTATAGTCATATTTAATTAGAACTCCAATTAAGGTACTTATAACCTTACTTACTAAGTCCCATGATCCTCCAAGTAGGGTCTAAATGTGCGCCTTGCCCTTATCCTCGGTACGAATCTTGCGGGAGACCCGAACCCAACTAGGGAACCTTGCTGCCTGACAAGGTATCAGGGCCTCAATAAGTAGAACAGGGCTTCGGGACCTGGCATCTACTGCCGCGCACGTCCTCGGATTCGGTGCCTGAAGCGGCTCCGAATCCGGAAAGTTGAGGCTTCAGGACTCGAGGTTTAGGCTCAGGCTCAAGCTTACTCCCGCCGAAATCCCCTCATACTCCCCTGCCAGAGCTCCCCCAAAGGCGTATCCTGCGTATGCTTGTGCACGATGCACCAGGAGATGGGCAGCAAAAAGGCCAGTCCGGAGAACACCAGGAGCATGACTTGGTTGTTGTCTTGCGGGAACATCAAGACCACAAGCCTCAGCAAAAGTCCGATACACTGGGTAAAGTGAAAAGTAAGCCAGTACTTAGAGGATCATGGGACTTAGTAATCAGGGTTATAAATAAGGTAACTACAGTTATATTGAGTTGTAACTACTTATAACTTTACTTACTAAGTCCCATGATCCTCCACGTATATGCCCCGAACGGCGACGGAGCATGCCCAAGACGGTGCAGCTCCGGCAGATGCTGGCTGGGACCGTAGCTTCCTCTAGAACAAATCATGGGGTTTGGGGCCAATCATAACAATAAGCAGTATAACATTCACATTAACAATAATAATAACAAGAATGACGGTAGTAATGAGTAATAACGGTAATAGCAATAATTATAACAACAATCATCATTATCATCATCATCATCATACTATTTCGGGGGTGTCAAAAAGCTCTCATGACTTCAGGAAACGTTCGGGCCGTTTCGGGGAAAAAGGGAACAAGACACAAACGACCACACAAAAAAGAAGCTAGCAAACAGACAGTAAGGTTTCGGGTTTAGGGTCTAGGGTTTTGTGGGCTTAGGGTTAGGAAGACCAGCAAGGCCGTACCTTGCACGCTGTGACCCAGATCCTGACACACTCGAAGTAAACCCCAAACAGTACGTCAAAACTTGAAGCTGCCAAGAGACATGCCGCTGAGGACGGCGAGCAGGTACACAACCCCAGCAGTTCGTGCTAGGCACTTGTTCCTCGGGCTACAGGCGTTTAGCGGTTTTTAGGTTGTTCCTCAAGGGAAGATGCGCAAACCGCAACACCTAACCACGACCCTCTTGGTACCCCTCTTTGTGCCTTCAATAAGAGCATGGCCCCTCATAGTAAGTGCTAGGGATCTACTGGAGGGAAAGAGGGGTAGAAGGAAGGTTTAGGAAACCGACAAGTATCGGCCAGACGCGCTCCAGCGCGCTAGATACACTCAGCATCAGCGGGCCCCAGGAAAGAACGACAAGAACCTGCTGTGAGGGATTGGATGAGGCCTTGCGGAGGATAGTGTCAGCAGCAATGTGGTTTATTGTTTTGGAAAAAAACCCTAAACCCTAAACCTTAAACCCTAATCCCTAAACCGTCTTCAGGGGTTTAGATTTTGGAAAGTTGCACAACTGTGGTCAAAGGCTGAGGGCTGGCCTTTCGGAGACTCATGTGCGCCGTGTTGCCGACGGTCCTATGTTGTAGATTGTAGTATATGGAATATACTGTAAGATACCGTCATATAATACGCAATACTGTAATATACTACAATGCTCTACAAGAAAGCTAACCTAATTGCCCGAACGGGTTGAAACGCACAGGTGTCGACACGTGCAGACCCATGCGTCCGTGATATGTTTTCAATCACATAGAAGGAAGTTGCGCCGACAGCCAAGGAATACCGTGGTATTACAAAATTAGGGATCAGGACGTGGATGGATTTGAAAGGGGGAAGGCAGCATGGAGAGTCAAAGTGCACCACTCCAGAGCAAGTAGGCTAGTCGTGTCTCTCTGTCTGTCTTCGTCTGTCTCTGTCACTCTCTCTCTCTCTCTCTCTGTCTCTCTCTCTCTCTCTCTCTCTCTGTTTTGTGCTTATGTTGTGTATTGTCGTTTTCTCTCTTTTCCTATCGCTTGCCATCTTTTCCTCTGTTGGTCTCGTTCTGTCTTTCTCGCTTCTGTATCTGTCTGCATCGTTTAGTGTTTCCTCTGCCTTCGCGAGACTTGTGGCTGCGCTCTCGCCGGCAACTGCCACCGAAGCCATCACGGCTGTGAGGCAATAGCCCGTAGCGGCCAAGAAAAGCCAGAGCAAGTAGCACACATCCTCAGAACGGGCATGGCAGGACACTTCATCTCAGCATTCCGTGAGACGCTGGCCCATGACGAGACTACGAAATTCTGTCTGATGCATGCGTACCGTCACATTCGCGCTTCGTTTCCAGCATTGTGAAGAGCATGCAACATGCAGGAAGCTACTGCATAAGCCGTTGCATGTCTGAACACATGCACAGTTGTAATATAATCAAGCCACGTGTGTCTCAACAAAAGCTTGGGAGACAAAGGTCTAGTCTCCTCTGTCGAAACCTTTTATAGTATCCCTTAGCCTTACACTTACCCTAAACCCTAAACCCTAAACGGTTTAGCCCTCATAGACAGGGCGACGTCTGCATGCAGGCAACCGAGGGCTGCTTCCGCTTCCGTTTGGACACCGCGAAGAGGAGGAAGAAGAATCCGGCGAGGCGCAAGGCGGCCAGGACGGAGAAGCTGAGGACGGTGTTGCTGTGAGCCCCAGGCGTCACGTAGGGGTCCTGGTTTCGTGCTTGAGGTTTGGAGAATAAGGGTTTCGGCTTTAAGTCCTCACGATCCCGGCACCATGTGAGGAACAGAAGTTGTTTCCTTCAGTCCCCTTGACTTCCTCTTCTTCTCATGCTAGCAAGATGCTACGAGCAGGACGTGAGTGCCCCAAACATTGAACCCTTGAACCAAACTCAGAACTTCTAAGCTCTTCCGTCCTGGATGTTGACAAATGTCTTCCCGTCCTGGACCCGGCACTCCATTCGGCTCCCCGGCTAAGCGAAAGGCACAAACGCTAGGGGCATGTGCAAAACTGGAGCCATTCTGCAGCAAGCCTCCACTCCGAAGCCTTTAGAGCTCTTCACCCTAGCCATTGATCCATGAACTGTCTTGAAGACCCGACTACGATCTCAGGCTGACAGTTATGCTATGTCGAATATCTGTTGACTGTAAGTGTGGACGTCGATGCCGATGCATCTTGCTCAATTCTAGAACTGACAGCTCAGCTGCTCGACACTGATACTGCATTGCACTAGCTCGCACTCGCATAGTTCGTAACAAACGAAATTATCAGTGTTCACTGCGAACGAATACAAGGCAGTATATCTGGCTAGCCTGAAGAACCATGGGTCTCGATTCACAAGCAGTGTGCTGTGCCTGCAGATGCCGCTCGATCGAGCAGCACATCTGGCGTCAATTTGATCGGTATATAGCCTGTCAACGCAGATCAAATTTTCCATAGTGACGTGTTGGAGACTCTATCAGATTCTGGCACCTGCCCCCTTTTGCAGCAAGGCATCTTGGGCGACCAGGTCGCATCCCACCAAGTGCAACAGCGGCCTCCCTCCAGAAGCTATGTACAAGCACACTTCGTAGAATCCTTTACATGGAAGCTGGGCCATTCTTCGCACAAACAACACACTTTCTGGGACTCCTGGGGGTCAGTTGCACTCCAGAAGACCCTTCGCATACTCCAAGAGATCCTCACCCGCACCTTTCCAATTCACAGAGTCAACCCGATAAGCCTCCAAATACTCAAACAGCTTCTCCATTTGACCAGATTGATCTGCTTGTCCTGCCCGCTCGTGCGGCGCATCCCTAAACCATCCGAGAACTCCCCGAAACTTCTCTTGGAGTAGAGGATCTTCCGTTCGATCCAAGAGGGCTTGCACCTTCTGGTCCAAAGTCTCCTCTTCAATAACTGCATCGAAGATCTCGTTGTGGTCGCAGATCTCCTCTTGCCCAAGTCTGCGACCACGATGCCACACCTGGACTTGATGTGGGAAGCACCGCTCTCTGAAACTCAGGAACTTCGCAATCTGCTCCTCAGCTCGGAAGACTCTGGATTTCTTAGTTAAACACCCTATCATCTATCTATCTATCTATCTATCTAGCTAGCTAGTTAGCTAGCTAGCTAGCTATCTATCTAGCTAGCTATCTATCTACCGCTCTACCTATGGATATATACAGTGCGCGATTCGATCTATGTATCCATCCATCCATCCATCCATCCATCCATCCATTTAATGTATGTGTATGTGTGTATGCATATA